CTGTTTCCGCAGCATAATCTCATTTTTATGCAACTTTATGTACATGTACGTAACCAGCCTGTTTAATTAAGAATGTAACCATGATGTTTAATTACTAATATAATCATTCGGTTTAATAACTAATATAATCAGCTTAATTAATAATTAACCAGTTGGTTCAATTAATATCATTAGTTTGATTTTTGACATAAACTGTTCAGTGATGAACATGCCTACCTAAGTAGCTGATTAGATTGTTTAATTGGGGAAGCTGTTTCACCTATTTTTCCATATTAGATTGTTTAATTACTAATATAATTAGGCTGTTTGATTACTAATATAATTAGTCTATTTAATTACAGTTATGATCAGACCATTTAATTACTAATATAATCATACTGTTTAATTACTAAAATAATAAAACTGTTTAATTACTAAAATAATAAAACTGTTTAATTACTAATATAATAAGATTGTTTAATTACTGATATAATAAAACTGTTTAATTACTAATATTAGTTAGGTATTTGACATAAACATTAGCTTAATCTAGGGATATCAAATTTTTAATGGGGAAAGATACAGAAACACAGCACATCTAATTGAACCAACAATATTCATTTTCGCCCAAATGCAAGAACAATTTCAATTTATGAGAAGATGATTTCAACCATGGTGGCACCAGAATACCTGAGATCACTGACAAATGACAGACATACCAATATCTATAATAATAAACCTGGCAATAACTGTTTCCTCTCTCTGCTGATTGTAAATTGATTGAAACCAGAAGTCCCTTTATTGACCCTCAAATTATTCTCACATTAAAAACCACTAACAATTGATGAACTAACAAATACCAGCTGACAGGTACTATAATGAGGACCAAGCAAGGTTGTAATTACAGAGGTACTTATCTTTTTTCATACCCTAATTGTCTCTCCAGCTCTAGATGTGCCTTTAATATTAATTACTCATTCTCTGAGTGAAATAAATAATATTTGAAACCATGACAACTTAATACTTTGGTGTCTGCGATATCACCTGATGTAAAAGCAGATGTTTAAATTAGAACAATACTTTGGTCATTCACAGATTATTAAAGAAATATAACAAGGGCCACAGAGGATTTAAACTGTGTGGATCAACAGATTAAATGTCAAAAGAGCAAACCTCTTTAGTTTAACACAAGGTACAATTTTATGTATACACAATTACTCAGTTTAATACTAAGCGACAGTCTTTAATTTATTTCAAAAAGTGCTGATTTCGTATACTCAACAAATATGTAAAAAGATTTGAAATTTAAGTTTTGTTCAATTGTTCAGATCTTTTTCTTGCACAAATATTTTATAATTTTCATACTGGTACAAATAAAATGCGAGAGAACTGGGGTTAAAGAATAATTTGACCCAAACTAAGTTATTTCATATGTTATATATATTAATTCCAATAACTTGCATGCAAGTACGCTTCTTTAGAAATGGGAGGAAACCCAAGGACCTGGAGAAACTACGTAAAAACCTGGATCTAAACCATGACTTGCATATATAAACAACATGTCTTATGATATACAGTTCATGCTTTAGACCGCTCGGTCCCTCTTCATTACCTGCATCCACCATTCCCCTCCCAAAGCCAGATGTAAAACAGCTAGTATCATATCAAAGGAAACTAGAAAATAACTGAAATTTTTTCTGAAATAAATCTTCAAGGTCAAGATTAACACTTGAAGAACACTTGTACAAAGTCAAACAATTAAAACGCAAAACCCTAGGCCAAGCCAATTTCAATTTCTGTTTTCCCAGAAAACTATTTCAAAATTTTCCTCCCAGTTTCTTCATTAAATATTGGTTGCTTTTTTTCAAAAATTTTCAATGCCAAATCTTTAAGAAATGAAACATACCCCCCCTCCCCATCTTTCACAAAACTTATATTCCTTTATTTATCAAGATTCTGAGAAGAACTAAAAATAAATTGGTTTGGCCTCAACGTATGAAGGTCAAGATACAATAATATTTCCATTAGATTAACAAACTTTTAGATCGGTAGACTTGTTTCATCCTTCACGCTGAGTTGTAAATTTCTATCCCTTTACATTACTTATTATTTTTACCTATGAAAACAAACGCATTAGTAATTGTAGATATACTCTTGTAGATTCTTAATCTATTGTTTATCTTTATCAAAAACTGAACATGGGATATCGATGGGACCAGAGGAAAGTACTCGGGTTACGAAAAACACTTAAGTTGTAGAGCAGAGCCTTCTGGCTACACTTTGTAAAACGTCTTGTAAAAGTACCTGTATCTTTCTTGAAACCTGTACACTAAAAGGATGAATGTAACTTTTCAAAGAAAATATTTACCTGTCAGATCATATTTGAATTAAGAAGTTTCATGTATCTATAAATTTTCTTGGGATTTTTAGAGTAAATATATTATGATTCATTTACAGAATTTATGGATGTGGAAATTGTACTCCATTACACCCCCACACCAATCTCTAACCCCTAAACAAAAGACCAACCTCCAATCCCTAAACAACACGCCAACCTCTTATCCCACCAATCTCCAACCCCTAAACAATACACCAACCTCTAATCCCATCAATCTCCAATCCATAAACAATACACCAAAACCTCCAATAACACCAATCTCCAACCCCTGAACAACAGACCAACCTCCAATCCCACCAATCTCCAACCCCTAAACAATACACCAAAACCTCCAATCCCACCAATCTCCAAACCCTGAACAACAGACCAACCTCCAATCCCACCAATCTCCAACCCCTGAACAACAGACCAACCTCCAATCCCACCAACACCTAAATAAATTCAAGAATACTTTGTCATCCAATAATAGGAATACCTAAATGAAACCATAAGAAAATATTGACTATAGATATCTATGAACTAGAAGGGAAAATAATTTTTGATGGTTTACTCTGCTGGGCATATAGGAAATGTGCCCTTTTAGAATTTGTTTCCCCCTCGCACCCCTTCCCCCCCCCAAAAAAAATAACTGTATGCGCTCTTTTACTTGCATTTGTCAGTGAATAAATAAAATACTATTATCTAGAGCATTGGACACAAACAATTCAAATTTAAACCGATTGTTTTTAAATTTAAAGAATTTGCCTCAAACAAGTAAAAATTAAACTATTTCTAATTTTGATGAATTTGCCTCCAAGATGTATAATTTAAACTGACTAATTTGAAATGTAAAGAATTTGTCTCAAAGTATAATTTAGGTTGACTATTTTCAAATTTCAAAAATTTGCCTCAAAAATTTGAGTTATAAAAAAAGATTTGTTTATATAGTTACTCCTGATTCCTGTAGACACAAAGATCTTCTGTTTTTTTTATTTCATTTGATAAATCAGGTTATTGTAAGTAATATTTTCAGGAGAGCGCCATAATGTTTATACAACATTTACTTCGTACTAGAATCCTGGAAGCTATAGACACCAATATCTATCACATGCCGAGCCTTGGAGTCTTCTAGTCATTGAGAAATATTGCAATATATATTCCACAATTTCTTCCATCCCTTTTATTACGATCTTTCGTAACATGCATCATGGTTCCCATTTACCGTTTATGTAAACAAACTCGACGCCTGGCGCCAATGTGAATCGTCATATAACACATTAGACAAATAAAACATTTTCTCGGACAAAAGACGATTACAACAAACAATACACCGTCCGCGAATCAATATATCCAAAAGTGTCTATTCACTGCGAGTAAGGTTTTCATTTTCAAGAAATAAAACCACGGGTCAATGTCGTCTGAAAAGAAAATTAATTAAAATTCGACAAAGATTTGCAAGAGGACAAAGTTAGATCAATTGAAATCCAATCAATGATGGCTAAAAAAATGTGCAGAAGTTTTTCTCCCTTTGAGCAAATTGGACAAGTGTCGGAACAATTTAGTTCAAATCCAATCTTGTGTATGTCTTCGTACAATACTTGCGTAATTAGTTTTAGGGTTCACTAGTTTTATTAGTTTGTAACAATCATTACAAATTACGACAACTCCACGATATAAATTAAATTATTTCATTAAGTTTATCGGCAGTTCATTAAAGCGGTAAGAGCATTTTAATCATGATTCCAAGATTTGGTGTGCTTACTTTTCAAGAACACAAATATGATATACTAATTGGTGTGCTTACTTTACCAGAACACATATGATATACTAATTGGTGTGCTTACTTTACCAGAACACATACCATAGTTGATATTTGGTGTGCTTACTCTTTTAGAACACATAATACCATATAACATTTGGTGCATTTACCCTTCAAGAACACATAAAACCATATAATTTTTGGTTGTCTTCCCTTCAAGAACACATACAGCAAAATAATATTAGTTGTGCCTCCCTTTTCGGAAAACATGAAACCCTATATTTGGTGTGCTTACTCTTTTAGAACACATAAAACCATACAATATTTGAAGTGTCTACCCTTCCGGAAAACACAAAACCATATATTTGGTGTGCCTACCCGATCAGAACAAATAATATGATATAATATTTGGTGTTCTTACCCTACCATAATACATAATTTGACAATTTTTTTTTGTAGAGTAACTACTGGTATATATTATTGTCAATTTTTCAGATTTAATCTGATATCAGTAAAATAAGTTAATTTGTGCATTCAAATGTTTTGTTTGTAAATGCCTATGGGGCTGATGCCAGAATAATTTAAGTCCCAGGCTTGGTCAACTACCTGCTCAATTCAAGATTTGGGGGGCAGATGGATCAGGATATAAAAAAAACCATGAATTATATGTGTGATATGTCCACGTGTTTGTCTTCTCAGTTTCTATTTGTTTGTTATGTGCAAGTGGAAAATCAAGTGCCAACAACTTCATGAACTTTACTCTTTTTTTTTTCAACACAAAAACATTAGACTAAATATTATGTAATTGGAGAAAGATGGTGGATCCACTTTAAATAAGTTTGAACAGACGATGAAGAATCGAATGCTAGTTAATTAAACACCTACCGGAAAGATGGCTTCGGTTTTCCTTTTGGTGGGAAAATTTTCAACTCAAATCTCTCATGTAATGGTATCACCAATCGACTATTGGCCAAAAGTCTTGGCTCGAATGTACCAGGCATAATGTCATCTAAACCTTAAAAAAAAAGAAATAATAAAAATAAATTTTATAATCAATTAACATATAAAAATATATCTTTTTATTGTCATAATTTCTGTGTATAATTATTAACATTATGGTTAACATTTAATATTCTGATCTATTTTTTAAAATAAAAAAAATCCATTTCGTAACATAACAAGAAAGTAATTGTAAAGTTTGTGCTTCAGAAACAATAACATATGAATGCCGATGAGTGTCATGCCAAAGGCAGAGCATAATTACTCTTGCTATTTAAATCCATCAATTCTAACCAAGGAATAATAAAATAATAAGTCTTCCATTTGGAGATAAGTTTGACTTTAGAGGTATATGTGCCCAATCTGACTTGCCGTGCCTTTTATCCAATATGTTAATCACTTTTATACAACAATTTATGAAGTATGTTCTTGTGGTGTGCCTTTAACCCAATTTATGAAGTATATACTTGTGGTGTGCCTTTAACCCAATTTATGAAGTATATTCTAGTGGTGTGCCTTTAACCCAATGTATGAAGTATGTTCTTGAGGTGTGCCTTTAAACCAATTTATAAAGTATATTCTTGTGATGTGCCTTTAACCCAATTTATGAAGTAGTTTCTTTTGGTGTGCCTTTACCCAAAATTATGTCTGTTCTTGTGGTGGGCCTTTAATACAATCTGTTATATAATTTATATTTTATAATAATTTATATTTTATAATACAACTTATGAAGTATGTTCTTGTGGTGTGCCTTTAACCCAATTTATGAATTATATTCTTGTGGTGTGCCTTTAACCCAATTTATGAAGTAGTTTCTTTTAGTGTGCCTTTAACCCAATTTATGAAGTATATTCTTGTGGTGTGCCTTTAATCCAATATGTTACGTAATTAATATATTAATCATTGTAAGCATCTATATAACACAATTTATGAAGTATGTTCTTGTGAATGTGAATGTTTTGATAAGAGATTTATATTGAAATTTTATCACCAGAAAAACGAGACGACCACCCAACTTTATCGACTCAACTTGTTTTTATAGGAGGAGATTAAATCTTACAAATTTTTAAAAAATATCTAAAAAGAACACGCTCATAATTCACACCTGATTAGCCATGTTGTGAAGAAAAATTCAGATATTTTGAGTTACACTTAATGAATCGTTTGAATATCTGAATTTCATCCAAACACATTCGGCCAAACGATGTGAGGGAGTGGGAGACAAAGAAACTATCGAGGCTACTTGAATAATGTAGCTTGCTGGGATAAAAATGTCACGAATATGTTGACATTTGCACGATACGTTTATAGAAAGTTCCGTTCTCAGAGAATCGCCGTGGTAACATATGAATCAAATGTGGAAATGTAACAGTAAGATTCTTTCAACAAATAAACAGAAGATACCGAAAAAACCTCGAGAGAACCAGAAAACACCCCCTGAGGAATATGGCAGCTAAGACGTCCATGTTTTCAATTACTGAACATGAATTCTCGGCACATGTTTTGTGTTGTTTTTACAAAGCCGAAGACGGCATCATCCGAATTATATTATAAGGAAATGTGCGACAGGTGTAAGCAGAATGTTCTAACAACATTTATCGACGAGGATTCAAGGTCTCGACTTGATTGCTATGCTGGCAATGTTCATCCAGCACTGTTGAGACAGATGCTGCGGATTACCCACACGTAAGGACGTTCATCGTGGTAAAGAGTGTTGGGATGGGAAGACATCTTTGTCGGCCCACTTCCGAAACCTCTGTTTGTTTTTTCTGAACATGGAGAAAACAGTTTGACTCACGTTACGAACTTCTAAGAGTAACATTGGTGTCTGTTGAGAAAACAAATTGTGTTAAGGGTAGGATCCAGTCAAATACCAAATTGCACACGGTATAAAGCTGATGTATAAAAGTGAATTTCTCGTCAACACTACATGAGATTATCCTTTAAGTTACACAAAAAATCTCTTTGTCTTAAATACATGCTAGCTATACAAACTCTCAAATAAAGTGGTATAAAAGTGAATTTCTCGTAAGCACTACACAACTTTTCTTAAATACATGCCAGCTATACGAACTCCTCAAATAAGAAATGGTATAAAAGTGAATTTCTCGTAAGCACTACATGAGATTATCTTTTAGGTTATACAAAAAATCTCCTTTTACTTAAATACATGCTAGCTATAAGAACTCCTCAAATAAGAAGTGGTACTAGGTGTTCATGACACAAATTTCTATCATTAAAGTAACAATGAGCCTATGCAATCCAGAATAATTTGTCATCTTCTAATCATACTGATTGTTGAATATGCTTATTAATCTAGTAATTCTAATCGTTTAAGCTCTGGTATAGGGTGACCCCCCAAAAAACAGAACCCATAAATTTTTTATTAAATCCTACAAAGGTCCAGCAATTTTGATGAAATTTGCTTGGACTTAAAACATACATTATGCACGAGCAAAATCTGCTTATTACAAGTCTTTCTTTAGGCCTGAAATGTTATCTAAATTATCAATTAGACATTAATTAACTAATCCAGACCATAATAAACTCTCAATGTCAAGGCTATCCTTCGATGTTGGCTGGATTAGATTCCTATATGCCGCTAACGGCCATTGATAATTAAATCAAAAAAAGTGGATAATCAAGACTATGCTGTTTATATTAATGATTTTAGTAATGATGACCAAGACTATGCAAAAATTTCACCCGCTTCTTTCTCGGCTCATAGTGGATCAATTTGATTGAAATTTTCAGCAAATTACCTTTACACTATCTAGTTTTTAACTATTATAGCGAGAACTGCCATCTCTTTATCTTATCTCCCATAATGTATCTTTAAATATCTATCTGTGTACGATCATTCCCCAAAGTTTCAGGTATCTTGGTGGCTTTACATAAAAATCATGTTCTTTCCAAAATATACTCCAAGTGGCCTCCACTTGTCAATTACTTGAGTATTTCATGGCTCAGAGTGAAGTAACTTGTCAGAAATTTTCAGAATATTCCTGTTACATTATCTATATTTTAACTATTATAGCAAGAATTGTTAGCTCTTTATCTAATCTCTCATAATGCCCCTTTAATGTAAACAATTGTTATTGGGTAATTATATAATATATAAGCACCATACCAAATTAAAAATTATAGTTTTTAAAGAAATGTGGCATTTTTTAAGATGCAGTTTGTAGATGATCGTAAATATAGTATGTTTTAAGTCCATGCAAAGACTCATTGGATTTTATATATCAATAACAATATTGCTACTTTCATTTCTTTTATGAAACATAACATAAATTTCTATTTTTATAATTAAATATAGATATATGTGTTTCATTTATCATTCACTACAAAAATAGAACAAATTTTAAGAATAGTATGGGATGTTCTACGCAAATTATGGTTCAACATTTTCACATCTCTTAGCATTGCAATAAAATACTTCAGATGGGACGAAAAATCGAGGTCCTGTGTACACATTGGCGTGCACATAAAAGATCCCTTGGCAGTTGGAATTCGATATAAGAGTAGGCCGTAGCGCTGCTGCCCAGGCAAAATTTCCCTCATAGCACACTGTGACATATGCCTGTCTTCATTAGCCCAATATAGGAGCAGAACAGTAGGACGTTAAACCCCATTTCATTTCATTTCATTTCATTTTGCAATAAAATACAATAGTTAACTGTCAAAAAGCATACATTGTTCAGTGATATTAAAAAATATGAATACACACATCACTGAGAAGTGATATTAGGTGTTCTATACAAATAAAGTTTGATGCAGGACTGAGGGCCTGACAGGGACAGCTGTCTAGTCGATCAGATGGGATGAAAAACCGTGGTCCCACATACGCATTGGTATGCAAGTAAAAATCCCTTGACAGTTGGAATTCGATATAAGAATAGGCCATATTGCCGCTGTCTGGGCAAAATTTCCCTCATAGCACACTGTATGTCATATGCCCGTCTTCATTAGCCCAGTTTGGAGCAAACAGTAGGACGTTAAACTCCATTTCATTTACAAATAAAGTTTTAATATTTACACATTTCTTTTAATCCAATAAAACACAATGGCTATCGGTAAGCGTTACATTATATAGACTACAATTAGACAAGAATTAGCGTCTGCAAACGTTTTTAATAAAAGTAAGGTTTTATGATATTTCTTTTATGGTAGTATACATCATTTTTGGTTTAAAAATTAAATGTTCCATATCATTCAGTACAAAAATGTAATAAATTTGAAAAGTGATATCGGGTGTTCTCAACAAATTATGGTTAAATATGTTCACATCTCTTTTAATTGCAATAAAATACCATTGGTAACAGTAAAAAGAGTTCCATTAAACGATGATTAGACACATGTGTTCATCGATATCAAAACATACGAATACCAGTATCATTAACAAATAAAACACTTTTACTTGCGTTCTATCAACTGCTGAAGCCGAACCAAAACAGCTTTTCACACCTCGGAACAACAAAATATCTCCATTAAATATGGAATGAGTGCATTTGAAAACATGGCTACAGATAAAAGGCCCGAACCAGCGTAAAGAGATTAGTCAGAGGAATATTAACAGGAGTTATAAACTATCTGTACTGATATTATTATACGTAGAGTGATAATCGTCACGGCAATGTGGTAATATATCGTGTATGTGTCCTGCGGTTCTCTTGCACTTGGTAACATGGAGGAAGCATGGAGGGTTGCCTGGGTGGAGTTGTGGGGTGGATGATTTTTGGGTGATTGGTAAATTGGACTATTTGGGCACTTGGACTTTGTAACAGTGGCATGCAAAGGAAGGATGGGGAGTTTGTTCTTCAGTGGGGGGTTGAAGTGCAAATGATATTCAATCAAATATTTTGGTGATGGGAAACTTTGTTTTTAGTAACAGGGGCGTATGGGCATAGGGGAGGGTGGGTGTACATGACATTTGAAAAATATTTTTGGGCAACTGGGTTATGTGAGCAGTTCCTCTTAGTAACATTTGCATATGTGCATTAGGGGTTTGAGCGT